TCAGACTGGACAGGCCCCGTGCTGGGCCCTGCGGGGCAGTGGTCCACCCCGCCTGCAGCCGTTCTGCCCACGCAGTTATCTGAGGAAGGCTGCTTCCTGCCTTGCAGCAGAGAGCAACATTTTTGAAGATGAAGAAATCCCTACTTTCTTTTAATTTCTTATTGTCATGACAAAACTGACTCAATAAGCAAAAATTTTAGATTCCTGCCCAAGGTTGCAGGCCCGTCTCCCCGGCCTGCAGCTGCTCCAGACGCTCCACACTCCGCCTTCTGCACCTCGGCGCGTCCAGGACACCCATGCTGCCCTTCCCAACCAGACCTCCTGCTTCCCTGCCAGCGCCTCCTCCAGGGAGTCTTCCCTGACACCACCTCCGACTCACTGACTGAATCAGAAGCTGCCCTCTGCAAGCGCCCCACGCTGACCTCCCTGGTCCGTGTCTTACCCAGCGACTGAGCTCCTGGATGCCAGGGGCTGTCTTCTCTCTCCGTAGCCTTACACAGCGCCTGGCACAAATGTCTGAGAAAGGGGGTTGGGGGAAAGAGGAGGGAGAGTGGAACCTTTGTGGCCAGACGCACAGACACATGGAATGCAGACTGTGGAGAGGTGGCCTTGACCGCCACAGGGGGCAGGCGGGGCACGGCAGGAGCACTGTCCTGGGAGCCCGGCACCTGCGACCCCACCCAGGCTCACCGCTGGTGACTGGGGTGAGCCGCATCAGAGTGCTCACTGGTCCACGCGCTGTGGTCAGACTTGAGACCGCTCTCCCTGCCTGACTCGTGGTGGGGATCCCGCAAACCTCACACCCCTCACAGTGGGGGGCTGAGTGGCACAGCAGCCAGAGGGCCCAGACACCCACCCAACCCGGCTGCATCAGTGTTCACCCCTCAGCAGAAGTCACACCCATGGCCTCCAGCCCCTGGGCTGCTGGGCCACAGGAGTACAGAGGCAGCCCCCACGGGGACAGCGTGGCCCCTCATCGTGAGTCGGGGCCCTGGGACACCCACACACACAGACCTTGCCACAGCTGTCCCCGCTCCCTAAGGGTCCGGGTCCTATCGCAGGGCACCGGCTGCGCCTCCTCTGGCTGGGCTTGTCCCTAACCCCACTGCCAGAACCCGGAGCCTCAGCCCTGACCCCACACCGCGACAGCCCGCACCCGGACCTGGCTGCGGCCTCCCTTCAGCTCAGAGGAACCCACTGCCCGGTGCCGCTCCCTCTTCCCGGGGGCCCAGAGACGTCTGCGCCTGACCCCAGCACCTGACCTGCCCCGCAGCTGGAGCAAGGGTTCTGCCCCGACAGTCGCCCCGACAGTCAAGAGGACAAAGCAGTACCGCACTTTGTTTAGCCAGGGCTTTAAATGCAATGACACGATACGACACGACACAACCCCAGTGAGGAAAAACCGACACACCTGAGAAGGGGCAGGGCGAGCTTTCTGGGGCGAGGGCATCTGTATCACGTTAAGAGCCGACACAGGTGTGTCCACTTTTCAAAGTTGATAGAACGTGCGCTTAAGATATATCCATTTCCCTGTATGTAAATTTATGTAAATTTCACCTAAAGAACAGTAAACAAATGCCAAACTCCAGTTAATTACGCACATGCTGAACTGTTTAGGAGTGAAACTACACTGATGTCTGAAATGTGGAAATGCACCGAAAGATAAGATGGAGACCTGAGTGTCAGAGGGACGCAAAGGTGGGTGGACATGTGACAAGGCAGATGGAGTCACATGTCACTCGTGGAAGCTCGAAGGTGGGGACATGCCTGTTGGCTGCAATTCTTTCCACTTTTCCGTACGTGTACAAAATTTCTATAATGACGTTTTGGAACAAATACAATCGGGAAGCAAGCTAAAGAGTCAGCGATTTGGGAGAACAGGTACATCAATTCTTGCACAGGCATCTGCTGTGGTTTTGAGGCCACAAAGCATGTGGCTCTGATAACTCCGTAGGAACAGGGAAGTTACCCGTAAGCCGACCCCCGACCCAGGGGGCGACATCCACGCACGAAGCGGCACGCGGCACGGGACCACGACCCCTCCGCCCGCAGTGCAGCGTGCCACAGGCACGGGTTGAGAACGAACCTGACCGTCCTGGGTTCAGACCTCAGTCCCCCGTTCCCCAGCGGGACACTCACACTCCCTTCCTCAGTGCCCATAACGGTCCTCAATCAGCGCCTGGTGCCCAACGCACTCGGGAGGGAGGGGCCTCTGCGACAGCGGCTTTCAGGAGGAGCACCTGCGGGCTGGCCACCAGGTGTGCGGAACAGACACAAGGGCCCGCGAAGTCTCCCCCACTGACACGAGCTCTATTCCCTGGGCCCACAGGTCACCATTCTGTGACATGACTGCGCGGAAGCACTCACACAGCTCACGGTGGCTGGGGTCAACTGCTAAGATCTGAAATGGTTCTTCTGTCATCCCTCTTCCACGAGGAGCTGTTCCCAGAGCTTGCTTCTCCACCCTGGCTCCCCGAACTCCCGCAAACCCTTCAGAGAACAGCTCACACAGCACTGACTTGATCCCAGGGACACCTCCTCTGTGAAGCCCACCCTGATCCTTCCGACTAGGTCAGTTACCAAGTTAGAGCCTTGTCATTATACTTCCACGTGTGTGACTATTTGTCCAATGTGTCCCATGAGCTCCTCGGAGCCTAGCACCGGTGCGGAGCATGCGCTAGAGAATCAGTGGAGAGCGAGCTCCAAGGGTTTGAGGAAGTGCTTTCACTCCTTGTCAACTGACAAACAGGTGGGTGGCAGGGCAGGGAAGGCAATCCAGGAAGTCTAGCTACGCCCGTGTTTTGCAGGCGACGTGACGTGCCCTTTAACTATCCCAGGTGTACGGCAGTGTCTCATGTGGCTTCGCTTTCTCCTCGGAAGAAATGTGGGGGGCGGGAGGGATGTGCTACAGAAGCCTCCGCCCCGCTCACAGCCTCCCTCTGCGTCTTGCAGGCCTAGTGGCCCCCTGCTGACGGCTGACCGTGGGACTCACAGGGGCCCAAGGGCCTTGACGTGACGTGCCTTTTCACTGTCCCAGGTGTACGGCAGTGTCTCATGTGGCTTCGCTTTCTCCTCGGAAGAAATGTGGGGGGCAGGGGGGATGTGCTACAGAAGCCTCCGCCCCGCTCACAGCCTCCCTCTGCGTCTTGCAGGCCTAGTGGCCCCCTGCTGACGGCTGACCGTGGGACTCACAGGGGCCCAAGGGCCTTGACCGTTGCGTTTTCCAGCAGAAGGAATGGAGGCACCTGTGGAGGTCCTGTGACTGTAACTGGTGACACAGCCGACTACCCCTGTCACACACTCAACCTGCACTTGAGATGGCAGAGCCGTGCTGGGAGGGGTCTTAGAGGCCATGCCTGCTCCAACCCACTTCCGTCCGCTTTCTGGACAGGACGGGGAGTCCCAGATACGGGAGGGGGCGTGTGTGATGTCAGCTGCTGTGTAAGGATTTAACTGCACAGGTATCCACCAGTCAATCCCCAATCTTCCCTCATCTAAACTCAGAAAAAGAGGAACTCGGCACTGCCGAGTGATGTCACGCGGTGTCCCTCACCCAGGTGAGTCCCTGGTACCGAGACATGTGTTCCCACAGGTGACACAGGGTCCCGGACGCTCACCGTCAAAGCCGTCCAGGAACCAACCTGGCCAAGGCTGCGCTGGCCACTGCACGGCACAAGGCGTCCTGGGGTCAGCGGGACCAACTGCTCCCTCTGTCCCGCTCTGCCTCCCCCGCCCTCACAGCTGCTGATCCCAGGGACTCCGTCAGTGACTTTCTCACACACAGATCTCTGAGTCTGTTACCAGGGAAATGGACCAAAGACAGATGCAGCTAGGGACAGGAAGTGGCGAGACCTCCCACGAGTGAAACGGCCTCACGACGCACAGAGCACCCACTTTGTGGTGGGTCCAGTCCAGCCTCAAGGACCCTCCGTGGAAGTGAACGGCATCGTCTGCCTCCAAGGGGAGACATTCTGAGCGCCCGGCCCACCTTCACGAGAGGGAGGCCAGGGCCACCGAGGCCTCGAGTACCGACGGAGCACGCCTTCCGCCCGCGAGGCCCAGACGCTGTGTGAGGGCTACTGTGTCACGACAGGGGGCACCGTGTGCGGGGTCGGCCGTGTCACTCACACGCTGCCAGGCCCCCTCGAGCGCGCTCCCCCTCACTGCCGCACAGTCCTGGGCAGTTCGCGACCCCGCACTGCAGAGGCGGCGGAGCCACAGACGCCCGAGTCCCTCTCCCAGCCCCGTGGCCCGTTGGCCTCACAGCCGGGCTTCAGAGTTCAGAGATGCTTCAGTGGAACCTGACCAAACGGGTCCCAGTGCTCCAGCCATTTCTTCCCTATCTCCCTGGAGCGGAAGAAGCCAGAACGAGCCTTTGAATTGCCTTGTTCTCTTCTTTAAAGAGAACCATGTGTTTACTCTTATGCCAAAGTTACAACAGCTGACGGTTCGCCAGCTTCGACTCTCAGAGCCGGGCAGCGGCTGAGCTCCTCTCCCCCGTGCCTGTTTATGTCTCTGGAGCGACAGGGGGAGCTTGTTTCAAAGAAAGATCTGCCGAACGGGGCTTTGCTGCAAGGCACCCAGAGGCCCCCGGCATCGGGTCCGGGAGGCTCAGAGGGTCCCTGCTCCAGAGCCCTGCACCCCTGTCTGCTTCCGGCTGGAACTGGGGCCCGGCTGAGCCCCGCTGGTGGACACGCTGCCTGCGGCTGTCGCATTTGCACCTTGACGCCCCTGCCTCTGACCCTTGCCAGCCTGCTCACGCTCACGGGGGAGGTGAGGGCTGAGAAGGCTGCTGCCCCTCGGGGCTCACATCCCCTGGGAGGTCCGGGGACACCCCCACCCCTCTGCCAAGCAGCCCGCTGAGCGCTCAGCCAGCCTCCGTGCGGACGACGTGGAAACACGCGCACGTGAACACGCACACCCTACACTGTGCCCCCCAGGTGTCACTTCACACCCTCCACCCCCACCTCCCAGGGAGCCCTGAGAAGCAACGCGCTCACCGATCTGCCTCCGGGGGAAGATCCTCTTCTGCAAACTCATCCCAGGGGCCTGGAGGGCGCAGGCAAGTCCCTCGGTGGACCCAGGAGTGGTGGGGGTCACGGCAGCTGCGGGGGCTGGGGGGTGAGAAGGGGAGTCTCACTACAGAGCCACTCCCGTCCCACTCCCGTCACCGCGGCTCTGCTCCCGAGGGCAGGGCGGGGGGAATCCCTTCCCCTCGGCCAGCAGCTCGCTGCTTCCAACTCCTGCCCGCCTCGGGAAGCAACTGTGTATGAGAGCGAGTCATTGCACTGAATCGAGCCCTCAGATCATAAGCCTTTTCCTGTACCGCAAACAGAAATGTAAAACCTCAAACTTTCCTTTGGACTTGGAGTCTGCGAGAGGGCAGAACACAACTGCTTCTGATGTCTAATGCACGGAAACTGCTCAGCTGTTCGATCGCCCCGTCCACTGCCCTCTGCCCCCCCCACCCCGCCCCAACTCTTTTTGTAACGTAATTAGAAATTAATTCTAATGTGTGTTTACGTAGTTGCGAGGGACAAACAACACTGAAACCCCTGCCCACCGCCGAAGTGGTTCATTTTCTCCTTCACACACGACACACAAACACGGTGCCTGTTTAATCCCAGTGAAAACGCCTTTCATAAAATCTGCACAGGGCTGGGGCAGCGACTCGTGGTGAATGCAGCCTGTGTCCCCAGAAGGGCGGGCGGGCTGGGGGAAGGTGGAGACCGACTGTGATCAAGACAAACAGAAGGCGCTCTGACTCCCGCCCGCCCGGCGGGACGAGGCGGGACCGAAGGCGTGTGGATGCGCGCCTGGGTGACTGGGCTCGGAACTGTCCTCTGCTGCTCTGCCCAGTCTCCCCTGCTAGCCTCCTCATCCCGGCAGAACTTATTTTTAGACTTGGACAAGACGGACTATTATTTTCAATGACCAATTTGATTGCTGGGTTAAATAAACCCTTGGATTCCCGCACCGAAAAGACCAAATGGATATACAATAAGCGGGCGAAGACTCAGCTGAAAACTGGGAAGGATGCGAGGGACTGGGGACACAGCACAGAGACAGGATGGAAGGAAAAGGCTGCTCTGTCTGAAAGAGAAAAGGCCACCAGGACAGCGAGCGAGTGACAGACCCTGGTCCAATTTCTGACCCAACTGTTTATGTAACTGCAAAAGGGACAAAACACCTAAACTCGCGACACCGGTGACCGCGCAAGTGTCCCAGGGCTTCCTGGGATGCCACCCCAGCCGTGGCTGCCTCGGGCCCCTTGACTACGGTCATTCCCACCATTCGGGGCCTCAAAGTCACGGGCTTCGGAGTCACCATCACTTCGCGCGAACCACCTCCGGGTCACTGTGACCCCCTGCCCGCTCGCCCCGCACGCACCTTTGACAGTTATTCCTCCAGGCGGTGCTGCAGGCCGCCAGGCAATCTCTGCCAGCATCGCCTGGGGAGTCAGACGAGCTTCCCGGGAGTCACCTACCCCCAGAACGACGACTTAGAGCCAGAGCTGGCACTTCCTGCCGCCCGCCTCATTCGCATTTACAGAACCCGAGATCTCGAGATGCCGCAGCTGTGCCGGGATCACGTGGGGCCCATACCTGCCTCCGCTTTAGTGGTCCCACCTGCTGCAACAGTGGGCTAGAGAAACGGGAACACTGCAGAAGCTAAAGCGACGTGATCGGGTCAGATTTACTGTCCTGGAAAGATGTGTTACGTTGCTAGGTGAATCGATCAGGTCACAAACACCGGATGTATGGTACGAAACACAGACGTGAAATAAGGTTAAATTTGCAGAAGCAACATTGAGGTTTTTTTCCCTCCATGAGCTTCCCAATATCTATTTTCGGGCTTTCCAATATCCCTCTGTTATCCCCGCAATTCGGGGAGCAGCGACAGCTTCCAATTCATACCATGCAGAGGATAGAAAAAAACTTCTAAAAAAGTTTTTTTAACTCAAATCATTGTTGCCCTTGGAACTCCTAAGCAGACTGTTAAATCAATCCCACACACACAACTTTCAAAGTCGTGGCCTTTGATCGTAAGAATCGAGCCTTTGACAAAGAAATTTCGCTTCGGTGTGGTGGGCACAGTAACGGTCCCTCCGAGTAAGGCCACACCCTGCCACAGGATCCTGAGACTGTGCTGTATCGCACGGCAAGACGGAATCCCAGTTGCAGATGGAATTAAGGGCGCTAATCGGCTGACTTGAAAAGGATGATTCTGCGTTGTCCAGCTGGGCCCGATGTAATCACAAGGGTCGGAGGGAGAGGGCGGGGGAGGCAGAGAGGCGGGGTCACAGTCACAAAGGTACCGGAGGGAGCCACCCTGCGGGCTGTGAGCCAAGGCTGCAGGTGCCTCCAGATGCTGCAAAACGCAAACAGTTGGGTCCTGCCCTCCAGCCTCCAGAAAGGCAAGTTCACTCTGCCAGCCCCTGATGAGACCCACTGTGGACTTCTGACCTCCGGAAATGTAAGAAAATAAATTCGTATTGTTTTAGGCCGCTAATTCTGTGGTAATTTGTTATAGCGGCAACAGAAAACTAATACGTTTGGGTCTGTTTATATTTTGTTTCTCCGATGCCAAAAGCGTGGTTTTGATTACAGAGAGCAAACCCTGGAACGTTCAAAGCACAAACTGTATACCATAAACCCATAAACTGGGAGCCCAAGGGACAATATCAAAAAAAAACAGTTGTCTTCTCATCCGAAAGGAGACGAAAGGCTGCCCCGCTGGGGGTGGGGAGGGGACACTGTGAACTGGCAAAACCAATTTCCCGTCATCTGTGCAAACGGGATCTCGGAGTTTTAAGTTCAGTTACAGAGAAATAAGGAAGGCTGCACGTTTATACATGATTTTTTCTGTAAATAGCCTATCAGCTCATCTGTGGCTAATGGATGACGAGTGCGCTTTATTTTCTTTTATTCTGTATTTCCTAATTTGTTTTCCCTCCAAAACAAACATATTTATTTCTTAGCCAAAAAAAAAAAAAAAAAAAAAAAAAAAAAAAGCGACATGATCTAACTTATGTTTTCAAAGAATCTCTAGCTATTGTGTTAAGAATGGACACAAAGTGGGCAGAGGTGGACACAGAGGGATCTCACAGGAAGCTCTGGCATTCATACGAGAG